TATTGGTTGATTGGTTGGTTGGTTGGTTGGTTAGTTGGCTGGCTGGGGGGACTGAACTCAGGGGCACTCAACCACTGAACCACATCCCCAGCCCTATTTTGTACTTTATTTAGAAACAGGATCTCACTGAGTTGAACTCTCAATCCTCCTGCCTCAGCCTCCCAACCTGCTGGGACCACAGGCATGCGCCACTGTGTCCAGCTTATTTTTTGAGACAAGGTCTCGTTAATTTGCTGATGCTGTCCTCAAACTTGCAATAATCCTCCTGCCTTGGCCTCCAGAGTTACTGGATGGTGTACCACCATGCCCAGATTCATGTTTAGCTTTAAGAGCTCTCTTTTGAGAGAAACCAATGAACTGGAAATGTGTTTGGCGGAACAGTAACAGGAATAACAAACACATCCTCAAATAAAAACAAAATAAATTGGAACGCTGAACTGGGGGAAAATAATACAAGGGGTAAATGATAGTAATCTTTAAATGGTGAGACTTCCTCTTTGTCGCACTAAAGAACAAATAAGAGCAATGGTAGAAGTTATAAGGACAAAGATGTTAGCTTAACAAGGAAGAACTGAGTAATCACAAGTTATTTTGTGACAGAACAGACAACTTCCTAAAACAATGTTCATCCTGTATATTCAAAAGGAGAAACTAAATGAGCATCAGGGTAGGTTAGCTTTTATAGAGGACTTTAAGAATCCCTTTCAAATTTAAAATGCTAACAAGTATCAAAAATGGCAGATGATTGAATCAGATGGTGCTAGACAAAGCACCCTAGCCTGATGTCCCAAGAAATAAAGTTATATATGGCTCAGGGTGTAGTTCAGTGGCAGAGCTCTTCTCTAGCTAATCTGTGAGGCCTGGGTTCCATCCTTAGCACTGAGAGACAAAAGAAATGGAAAGAAAGTTAAGGCAAAAAAAAGGAAAAACACCAACTCTCATTGTAATCAGCATTTTTTTTTTTTTGGGGGGGGGGGGGGTACCAGGGATTGAACTCAGG